TGTCTTAGAGTAAATCAAAATGTCATAAATGAACACCACTACAAATCGACCCAAATAACTATGAAAGATATGGTTCATGTATTCCATGAATACTCCTGGCGCATTAGTAACACCGAAAGGCATCACCGAATACTCGTAATGTCCATATCGCGTTCTAAAAGCCGTCTTCTGGATATCTTCACCCTTCACTTTAATCTGATGGTAACCCGACCTCAAATCAATCTTACTGAACACACGAGCATCCACCAATTGATCCATAAAGTCATCTATTCTTGGAAGCGGATACTTGTTCTTAATCGTCACTTTATTCAACTGTCTATAATCAACACAAAGCCTCATACTTCTGTCTTTCTTCTTTACTAGCAACACTCGAGCTCCCCACGGTGATACACTTGGTCTTATAAACTTCTTTTCGAGTAACTCTTCCAATTGCTTCTTTACCTCTGACAACTCAGATGTAGACATCATGTATGGTGCCATAGACATAGGTCTGGTACCAGGTACAAGATCAATAGCAAATTCAACTTCCCTCTTCGGTGGTACATTAGGAATTTCATCAGGGAAAACTTCAGGAAATTCACGCACCACCTGCAATTCCTCAATTATAGCGTGATTCTCGACAGATAGCGACGTCATCAACAAGAATATTTGTGCTTCTTCTTGCATCAACTTCCTCAACTGTCTAGTAGACAACAAACTATATTCCTCTTCCTCAGGAGTAGAAAACCTCACAGACTTGTCATAACAGTTAATATGAACATAGTTATGCTCTAACCAGTTCATACCCAAAATCACACCCAACCCTCTTAAAGGAAAAAAAACAAAATCAACAACAAAGTCTCTAGCGAAAATCGACAAAAGACACTCTAAACACACAAAAGAAGTAGTCACTGACCCCTTGGCTGGAGTGTCGGCGACCATATCTCCATTCAAAGAAGACAACATAAGACCCAATCTTTCAACAGAATCAGCAGCAATAAAGCAATGAGTAGCACCAGTATCAATAATAGTAATTAAAGGAGTACTATTAATGAAACATGTACCTCTGATAAGTCTGTCCTCAGCAGCTGCCTGATCCTAAACCAAAGCGAACACTTTACCACTTGTCTGCACCGTTTTTGGTTTCTGACACTAACTACCAATGTGCCCTTCTTCACCATAATTGAAACCGATCACATCCTTATGCTTGCATTCAGATACAACATGTTCGTTCTTACCACAACGGAAGCACCTCTTTACCTCAGTAGAACACACATTACTCTTATTCCCAGGTTTTCCACATTTGAAACAAACCACACCAGCAGGAGCATCTCCCCCACTAGTCTTCTGACCCTGAGCAGCTTTCTGTTTACCTTTACCAGCTGGGGTATCATAAGGCTTACCACGATTCTTTTGGTGCTTACCTCTCTTCTCACTGATAATTTTATAATGAGCATTATTATCCTCTTCATAAATCCTGCAGCTATCAATCAAATCAGCAAAGACACGGATCTTATGGTATCTAACTGCCTTCTTGATCTCCGGGCGCAACCCATTCTCAAACTTGATACACTTTGAAAACTCAGCATCTGCCTCACCATAGTGCGGATAAAACTTAGCCAACTCAGAAAACTTTGCAGCATACTCAACAACCGACATACTCCCTTGCTTCAACTCAAGAAACTCAATCTCCTTCTTACAACGAACGTCTTCAGGAAAGTACTTCCTCAAAAACTCCCTACGGAACACAACCCAAGTGACATTTTCACCTGTAGCTTCCAACCTAGACATGTCTCTAGCCTCCAGTCATCAGCTTCAACTAATAGCATATGAGTACCATATCGAACCTTCTACGCTGGAGTGCAGTCCATCACAAAGAAGATTATCTCAATCTCTTTAAGCTAATTCAATGCTCTGTCAGGATCATATTTTCCCTTGAACATGGGAGGATTCTCTCTCTGCAAAGTCGCCAAACTACGAGATGTAGCATTCTCGTCAGCATTCGGCTGATTCTCCATCGCATGCGGCATTGCTTCTAAAGCATCAACAAGTGCAACATCATTCCTTCTAGCCATCTCAACTTATCACTATAACATAAATAACAGTCAGAACTCAAATTAACAATACTCAATTATTAGACAACCTACGACTCGACAACTTGGTGGGACGGGACAACCTTTGCTCTGATACCAACTTTGTAACACCCCAATTCTACCCGACAATATAAATGTAAATCACAGTTGTAAAATTCATACAACTAAATCAGGATGCCATAAATTCAACTTAAAAACACCTTGCATTCAACATGGATACATAACACTTTAAAACTTCGGATGAACCAACAACAAAATAAATTAATCTCTTAATTCATCAACTTGAACAACAACGTTGCGGAATTATAATAACATCCTTGTCCAACGTTACGGTAACTTCAAAAAAACACGTACTTAGCAAAAATAAAATTAAACTTTAACAACTGAAATAATCAATAACTAAAAGCAACGAGCGTTCATCCCCCCGAGTGTTATGTATCAGAGCAATGACACTGACTCGAACTACTGAAGGTAAACCATCTTCACTCTGGATTACCTGCACGTTACCAACGTAAGGGTAACATTCAAACAAAAGGGGTAAGATATCTAACAATATAATAAAATGTATGATAAATAATATGTTAGATCAGTTCGTATAATAACACCACTTCACATATCATAAACAACAATAATTGCAACAGAATACCAACAATATACACATTTACCGCATCAATACACAACTTCTTTATGCAATCATATAATGCGACTCAATATTATGCAAATGCATGTGGTACCATTGGAGCAGAAATCCCATCTCAAAATAATTGCCAATAAATAGAGTCATTAACAAGGCATAAGCCTTCATCTCAATGTTCGCCAATACATGCCATCTTAACGAGCATCAACTCCTTCTTGATATGCAATGTATGAGACATTATCATGATTGTAGCAACAACAACGACAAGTACAACATCTCCACACAAGCTCATCATTATCCAGAAGCCTACATCTCAATATCTTCCAATTATTAGAGGCATCTCAACATCATTCATCAACAGAATTCATCAACAGAATTCATCAACATAATTCATCACATAATTCATCACATAATTCATCAACATAATTCATCAACATAATTCATCAACATAATTCATCACATAATTCATCACATAATTCATCAACAAATTCCACAGCAACTCATCCACAACAATAATACAACGATAGATCGACAATCCCTCAATGTTGGCCATAGGCCTACAACATGGTAATGCCCCTAATTGATTAATCATCTCATGCTTATCTCTAATTATCAAACCTCTACATATTATTATACTGTAACACTACATCATTATTATCATTAATCTTACTGTTATGAACCAAGCAATAATCTATAATCATCTTATCCTCCTCATACTTCACAAAATTATCACATCGATTAACACTGGAAGCTAAATCTATCCTAATTTGGATACTAAGATTATTCTTTTTATCCTTCATTTTAATTATTAAGAATGAAGTTCACCGCGTTAGCTATCCAACACTTTAAACAGCACCTCAAACGGAGTCCGGAAACTCAAGTTACAACCTTAGGAAAACAAATCTGTCAAAAATTGGACTGCATGAGTCGTCGCATACTGCTTTGAGTCGATGCGTATTGGGTTGAAATCCTGCATGATTCGACGCGTAATCCTCTTGTGTCGACTCATTATGAATCCGCAACACTGCATGTATCACTACGCCAAATAAGCTATTTAATAGCGCTTTTTTTTTGTTTTTGATAGCACTTAAAAGTGCTATTAACCGCGCCACTATTGTAAATATTTCTTATTTAATAGCACTTTAAAAGCGCTATTAAAGTACCAATTTATAATAGCGTTTTAATTAAAGTGCTATCAAAGTCAATATTTTGCATGTTTTTTGTTTGTTTTTTTATAGCACTCTAAACAAAAAGCGCTAATATATAACATATGTTTGATAGCGCTTTCAAATAAAGTGCTAATAAATGGTACATATTTGGTACAATATTTTTAATAAGTACAGTACAATATTTTTTCTTACACAATCATTTTTTTTGGTGTAAATATAAAATAACTATATTCAATTCAACACAAATAACGCTTTAAGTTACTCATTGCATATATATTATGATCCATCAAATACCAAATAACATTTTAAATTACCAAATCCTATTGTTTCCAAATATCATAACATATAGAATATTAAGAGGGCGTTTGCATAGCCAAATTTGTAGATGCCCATCTATGAGTACTTCAATCCAAATCCAAAAACATACAATCAAATTCTCTAAACAAAACACCAAAAAAATAAGAAAGGATAACAAAACAATCCCATGTAGTAACCACCTTCATGATCCAAAAGCGTTGAACTCATAGATACAATCACTAATTAGGCAAAATAATTGCTTCTTGTTTTCCTGTATCATAGAAGGAATATTGATTATGTATTGTACAATAAAAACTAATTCAACATATAAAGAATAATCAAACATTTAATATGGGTCTAACAAGAAGCGCATAAAATAAGGAATGATTATTATAAACTAATAACAATAAATCGATATAACTAATGCAATAATTGAACTAATTAAGTCTAACAAGAACATGACTTGTAAATATATAGACCACAATTTCCATTATTAGATGCATATAAACACTAAACAAAATATAATTCAAATTCTCAAAATATACATAAACACTTAATTGTGTGTAACTTTCTTTTCATGATCCAGAACTAGATATCAAACACCTTACAATTGTTACTACGAATATCTAAAAATTTCAAGTAGAAACGGAAAACTATAAATCAATCATACAATAAGATATAAGTCATTTTTCCGTATTTTCCTATTTCAAAATTTAAATTCGAGACCAAGAAAGAACACTCAGTACCTCTGTGCCATATCTTCTAAACCAATAAAATACTAAAATCATTTATACGACAACTCTAAATCCAACTCAAAAATTAAAATTAAACATCTAAGTCAAAACATTTGAACTCTAAATCCATGAGTAATATTTGTCTTGTTTATCAAGTATCAAGTCAAGGAAAAACTCACCGAAAACATCATCCACCACATAAGTAGCCCAATCCTCCTTAACCTCAGTTAACTTATCATGAGAGTAGGTACGACATTTGTGGTCAAAAAAGTACTTCAAATATGAAAACATCAACAATTAATCGTGTTAGAATTAAATTATATTAATTTAATTTACAAAAGAATAATAATAATAATTAAAATCACGTACATTTGTGGGGATTAAAAAATTCATTTTCCATGATGACCTCTTTCATAAATCGCATTACAAAGTATCCACAATCAACGCCATTAATTTGACGAGGACACTACAAAAAAAAAATTTATATCGATAAATTTTACTCCACATAATTGTTTTAAAATAACATTAATTTAGACACATACCTTTATTTTTTTCCATGAGATTTTCTTTGACTTTGACACTTTAGGCACTTTAGAACTACTATTAGCACGATAAATTTGCAAAGCGCTAACAAAATGAAATTAACTTCAAATGAGTAATTATATAAATAATAATACGTACATAAATTTTAAATTAAAAGAGTCTATACTCACTTCTCAAACTTTGTTTTAAAATTTTGATGTTTTGTTGGCTCACCATTCAACGGATCCATGTAATATATCACCTCAGCATTGAGATTGATGACAAGCAACACCCAATGTTTCCTGCACCCAACATTTAAATATTGCATTAAAGATTCACATTCATTAGAGTTTTTTCTCGTTAATTTAATAACTTTTTGAATATAAATCTCACCCTAGATTACAAGGTGCAAGAATCATCTTATCCTTGAACTCCTCATCTTTCAAAAGTATTTTTGCTATACCATTTCCTAGATTATCCTCCCGTGATACATGTGGAGATATGAAAGAGAACTTATTTATTAATCCATTTGGACTAATAAACTTGTCATACAAATACCTAGAAATGAACAACAATTGATATTAATATATTTGTCACCAATGTGAATATTAGTCAACAATACAAATAACATTAATATTAATAATATATTTGTCAAATAAGAGAATATTTGTAATAATAGAGGTACCTGGAAAATACAGTGATAATAGATGCACTTAACCAATTGTGATCAAGAATCTCCTTTATACTCTCTACACGTAGTTGCTCTAAAAACTCCTCACCAAATATACTTTCCTCCATTTTTATTTGAATTAATGATCCAACCCTCATCATCTTTTTCACATACATATCAAGGAAAGGTAAATTTGCAATACCAGCTGAACCGCCAACTCTAGGCGACTCTTCGATTTTGAATTTTTTGTTACTTTTGTTGGGTGATGAAACTGAATATTCAACACTGTGTTGAATATTGTTACCTTTGTTTTGGGATTGACCAGGAATCTAAAAAGTTGTATTAATTAATATTAGTGATCAAATAATAAAACAAGTAGCGATCAAGCAACTTGATTATAAGTAATTTACCTTTTCACATTCAGCAACAAATTCAAGAAGTTTCGTTGGCCATGGCACAATTGTTCCTATTGCTTGACCAACCATGGATACATCTCCATCTTCAACAGATATAGGCAATGGGACATTTGGCACAATAGCAACTTCGATATTAACCTTGACATATCCAGGTGGTAACGTCATGCCATGTACCGTGTTACCTTTGGTGTTATATAGTTTTCCACGAGCAACCAAACAACGACTCGGGGAGGATAAATATATATTAACAGGAAAGAGACCCTAAACTAATAAGATATGAATAAAAAGATTAACATCATTATTGAAAGAACAAACATATCGAATTTGAGAGATAATAAAGAAACCAATTACCTCGGGAATGTTTCCAAATGATCCAGGGTTGCAAGAACCTTTATCACTAGGTAGTCGACTCTCAGCTACTTTTTCTGGTTGTTTCCTTTCTACCACTTGTTCAAGGTGTTGCCTCTGTGCCACTTTTTCAGGTTGTTGCAACCTCTCTGACACTTGTTTAGGTTGTTGCCTTTCTTCCACTTCTTCAGTTTGTTGCCGCTCTAGCTTCTCTCTATCCAACTTATCTCTCTCAATCTTTTCTCTCTCTAGCACCTCCAATCTACTTTTGAGTGAATTACAAAAGCCATACAATTTTTCAAAATCCATTTGTGTGGGGGCGATTTTGGCGTGGTAATATGTCCCTAGAACATACCCCAAAACCATAAGTCCTAACACGTCCAGAGTAGTTTGGGAGATTAAGAGCCTCAAATAATATGTTTGTGGGACCAAGGTCTTGTCTCTCTTCTTCAGATAGAGCTTCTGTTAACTTCTCCTGACATTGATAAGTATAAAAGAAATAACCAATAGTTAGATACAAGTTGCAATTAATGGCTATTCTATCAAAATAAGACACAAAGACTCAATTAATTAAGGAAAATCGAGTTTAATGACTTCTAACTAACTAACAAAATACAAATTCGGTAACAATGATGAGTATAGAAAAAGTGTCACATCTATAACGTGAGCATTTTGGAAATAACATCTATAGTGTCACATCTAAAATTCGACTTACACATTGATCCACAACTCTTTGAACATTCTCATTATCAATCACCCCGCTCTTATTGACGCGGGCAACCTTCCACACTTGACTACGGTTTATCTCACCAACTTCTGACTCTTCTACTTGTATATACATTTTTACAAATTAACATAGCAATTAAATTTTTTTATAATATTGTATAGTACATTTATACACATACTTACCATATCAGCTTCAAGACGAGCACACCCTAAACGTGACTTTCTATAGGGATGTTGAGGATTTAACGCTCTTTCTCGATTCTCATCACTAACTTTCTGCATTTATTATAAAAAATGCATCCCACAACACTATCACTAATACTATAATCATGCAAAACTTTAAGGATCCATATCCAAGTGATAAAAGTATTACCTGAAACTTTGCAGTCATATGTTGGGCTACAAATTTATCCCAATCATCTTGTTTTATACAAAAAGAATATTTGGCCGGACGATGTTTAACAAAACCACCCTTACTATCTTTTAGATATGACCTCGCCATTTTTGTTCTGAATGCCCTGTGCAACTTTCCAACTTTCCAATACGGCAATTCAAAGAAAATTGACTTTTTTTTCCATCCTCCCTTTACAAGTTCACTTGAAAATGGCTTTCCAAAATTAGTGCTCAAAAGCTTTACTTTTGGTATAATTGATCACCCGTCAAAGCCAAAGGAGCTCTATTTTCTTCTGATTCACCATTAAAAGCTTTTCTCCATTTTCGAAAATGATGGTTGGTATTTAAAAATCTACGGTGTCCAAGAAATACATTCTTCATACAATACTCCAATCGTATTGAATGTGTACCATCTTCACATATGGGGCATGCAAATTTTCCTTTGACACTGTAGCCTGATAAATTCCCATAGGCAGGAAAATCATTGATTGTTCCAAATAACATAGCCCTCAAGTTGAAGGATTCTTTTTTATACTCATCATATACCTCCACACCTGTCTCCCACATATGCTTTAAATCTTCAATTAATGGAGCCAAGTATACATCTATATCATTTCCTGGTTGCTTGGGCCCAGAAATTAACATACTCAACATCGTGTATTTGCGCTTCATACATAGCCATGGAGGTAGGTTATAAATCAACAAAATGACTGGCCAAGAAGTAAGTTTACTACTTTGAATACCATGAGGATTTATTCCGTCAGTAGACAATGCAAGACGTAGGTTTCTTTCTTCCTTCCCAAAATTTGGGTAATCATGATCAATTTTTGCCCATTGAGGAGAATCTGCGGGATGTCGGAGCATTCCATCAACAACCCTTTCATTTGCCTGCCATGTTAAGTTCTTTGTGTCTTCTGCATTATGATACATGCGCCTAAATCTTGGTATTATCGGAAAATACCATAGCGTTTTGGCTGGAGCTGTTTCTTTCTTCTTATAGCGTGGGGAACTACATTTAGGACACATATTCAACGATGCATACTCCTTGCGAAATAAAATGCAATCATTTGGACAAGCATGTATCTTCTCGTAACTCATGCCAATAGAACATAACAATTGTTTAGACTCATACGTTCGACTAGGGAGCACGTTGTTCTCAGGCAAAATATCCTTTAACAGAGTCAACAAGTATGTGAAGCTCCTATCGGACCATCCATGGCGTGCTTTTAAGTTATACAACTTTAAGACCGTTGACAGTCTTGTGAATTTAGTACATCCATCATACAACGGAGTCTCTGCATCACTTACTATCCGCTCAAACATTTGAGGACAATCACGAAGATCTTCCTCAATTACATTGACAAATTCTTCAACTCGATCAAACGCATAATTCGTATCTTTTTCAAAATCATTTGATGAATCTCTCCCATTGCTCCTTTTTGTGGACTTGGTTTTTTTTTCCCCGTGCATTATCCAGCATGTGTAGCTTTTATCAATTCCATTACATATTAAGTGATCTTCCAAAACATTTGCACTAACATCCGTATAACAACATTCTAAGCAAGGGCATATGATTTTATTAGTGTCTTCAACATGAGCAATAGCAAACCTAACGAACTCACGAACTCCATCTTCATATTCTTTTGACGCTCGATTGGAAAACATCCATTTTCGATCCATATTTCCTAACAAGTAACATATATAACTAGTTAAAAATTGGTTCTAACAACCAAATTATGTATTTAAGAGTCATATAGCATATGAGATTATGAATTTGATTTTGACTTTATGATCCATATGAGATTATGAATTTGATTTTGACTTTATGATGAACTTGAGTTTGAGCAGGATATACGAAGGAAAATAGCAGCCTTGTGGTGATTGGGCTGAGTGTGCATATTACACCGGTGGAGTTGCGTGAGAAACTTGCTATACCAGAAGCTGAATGGCCAAGAGCCATTGGTGAGCTTTGTGGTTTGAATCATATTGAAGAAGCAGCTGTTCTTAGTACGTGTAACAGAATGGAGATTTATGTTGTTGCACTTTCTCAGCATCGTGGTATCAAAGAAGTCACTGAATGGATGTCAAGTGTAGGTTCTATCATCACTTGTTTATCTATAAGCACTTCTTATCAAAATAAAATGCCAATAAAAAGAACCGTCTTTGAGGGTGTATAAGTCGGGCTATTGCGCATAACCCAAAAGCCCAAAATTTGTCACACTAAAACCGTGGTTAAAAAAGGTTTCATAAAATATTATCATGATTAAACAAAACTTTTACTTGTTTTGTCATAGTTAAACTTCAACTAACCAACACAAAGCTTTCAAAAATTTGAGACGGCTATGTCAATAGATATATTTAGATAGATTTATTTGAGTTTATGTATTGATATAAACATTTGTAAGACTATTTTGGTGAGTGTATGAAAATTACTTATGGTATTTTCAGGCAGCCATTTTGTTATCAAACTTGTCATTTGAGACTGTTGGGAATGTAATGGAACCAGAACAGTTATGCGACGCGGTTAATTTTATTTTATCCCTGCAGGTATATGTTTGGTATTTGATGGAGTAATTGAAAATTCTGAGCAACTTAAATACTTCAATTGAATTACCTTCATTTCTAATTTTTCGAGATTTCATTAAGCACTATTACTAAGTATTCAGGAATAAGAAAAATGGTTTTGTTCAAATTTAATTAGAACTTCAACCACTAGGCATCATTGGCTTAATCATTTTGCTCGTCAGCATTAAATATATTACAGAATAGAAATGGTGGATTTGCTTCCTACGAACTCACAAGATCTTATGCATGGCTGGAGGTACAACAAATTACTTTCTCTATTGTAGATTCAATTCTTAAATGATTTAACACTTAATTGGTTTCTTTGACAGAAAATAAATCCAACTGAAACATTCGAAGATATCACCATTGATTATCAGTATGTACCTGACATTGACACATTTCCTTGTAACAATTTCTGTCTGTCAATTTGTGAAAAATGAGTCCAATATAGGTATGTAGAATGCACATCAGCAGCGATTCAAAGCCTCACCTTATTCACTCAACGATATCCGCAGCACAGGAAGGTGGAAATAGAGACCTGCATAGCTAAGGCTGCAAACTTCATCGAAAGCGTACAGCTAGCTGATGGCTCATGGTTTGGTTTGCTTTACTAGTCCAGTAACTTAATATTCAACAAAATGATTTTAATTTCGTAACGCGGGTTTAACGAAATAGGTATGGATCATGGGGGGTATGCTTTACATATGGGACATGGTTTGGAATAATTGGGCTTATAAGAGCAGGTAAGAGGTACAAAGATAGCAAAAGCATTAGAAAGGCATGTGAGTTTTTGCTTTCAAAACAAGACAAGGTTTGTGGTGGCATACCTGCATCAGAGCTTTCACAGTATCTATTTCTGCTATACAACAAAGATGCAACCCAACACCTTTTTGAAGTATCAGCAGGACTTGATTCTCTTGTAATGGGAGAAGGTCAGATCCTTGCACAAGTCAAGCAAGTTGTGAAAGCAGGACAAGGAGTTAATGGATTTGGAAGAAACATCAGTGGATTATTCAAGCACGCAATCACCGTCGGCAAAAGAGTCCGAACCGAAACCAACATTTCGGCTGGAGCAGTTTCTGTGAGCTCGGCTACGGTCGAGTTGGCAGTGATGAAGTTACCTGATCAAGCCTCACATGGAAATGCAAGAATGCTAGTTATTGGAGCTGGCAAAATGGGGAAGCTTGTGATCAAGCATTTGGTTGCAAAAGGGTGTAAAAATATGGTAGTAGTTAATCGAACCGAAGAGAGAGTATCTGCGATCCGCGATGAAATAAACGATGTCGAGATAATCTACAAACCGCTTTCTGATATGCTCGAATGCGTAGGCGAAGCGGATGTAGTTTTCACAAGCACGGCATCAGAGAATCCTTTGATTTTAAAACAACATGTTAAGGAACTTCCTTTCGTAAGCGAAGAAATGGGACGAAAGCGCCTCTTCGTCGATATTTCTGTTCCGAGGAACGTAGGTTCGTGCGTCGATGACCTCGAATCAGTCAAAGTTTACAATGTCGACAACCTTAAAGAGGTAGTGGCTGCTAACAAAGAGGACAGACTAAGAAAAGCAATGGAAGCACAAGTGATCATCGGCGAAGAATCGGGCCAATTCGAAACATGGAGAGACTCGTTAGAAACTGTTCCTACTATCAAGAAACTGAGAGCTTATGCTGAAAGGTTAAGGATTGCTGAGGTTGAGAAATGTTTAGGTAAAATGAGTGATGAGGATATAAATAAGAAGACACAAAAAGCAGTGGATGATCTTGGTAGAGGTATAGTGAATAAAATGCTTCATGGTCCAATGCAACATTTGAGATGTGATGGGAGTGATAGTAGGACTTTGAGTGAAACACTTGAGAATATGCATGCTTTGAATAGAATGTTTGGTCTTGAAACTGAGGTTTCTGTTTTGGAGCAGAAGATTAGAGCTAAAGTGGAGAAAAAACCATAGTGAGATTAATATGAGACCATTGTTGTTGATTAAACTCATTTGTTTAGGATTGAGAATCATGTCAAAAGACAATGATAAAACAGAGAACAATAATAAAACCTCAACATTGTATGAAAAACATAGAACAGTGATGAAACCAACCTGAATGTAGTTAATTATATCAAAGTTTGCAAGTCTTGATCCACCCTCTTGCTGTCTACAGAGCCACTGATCAAGTTTTTCCTGAAATCAAAAAAACATCCAACATTAACGAAATGCCAATTTTTGCTTGGATTGAAAAGAAGAATCGATTAATTGTGACTAAATCACACCAAAACAACAGAAGCCTTATCACTCAAACTAGAACAAACTTTTCAACTCATCTTCAACCAATGTACTGACTTTTTTGCTCTCCATAAAACTTCATTCCTCTCTTCTCTTCCTTCTTCCATGTCTACATTCTTTCTTCTGCACTCAACTCAGATGGCATAGCACTTATATCATTCAATTCCCACTAGATATCACTTCCGCCTCTCATAAACTCAACATGAGTTCCTTCTCATTCAAAACCATACTCATGGGCTGGTCTCAAATACAACTCTTTCCACCGTGTAATCTCTCTCAACATTGATATTTACGGTTAACTAGGACTAGAAATTGAAAATTGCACACAACTTCAACACATAGACCTTAGTTAAAACTAATTCAATGGCCAAATACCTTACACTTCATGCCAATACTCACAACTGCTCACATCAATAACCAGCTCATCTCTCACCATTCAGGCACACATCAATAACACAAGCCTTATCACTCAAATTTCACGAACCCTCACAACTGCAACTTAACCTCACAAACCCTCATTACAGCTACTCAAAATCACGAATATCCGTCAACACAAAGACATCATAACGCTCACAAACAACACAGAGAATCAACGGATAGCAGAAACTGAAAAAAGAAATATTACCGGATACAAATGAAGAGAGGGATGACGACGACGTAGGTGAGATGACAAAGGGTTGAGTTTGACGGAGAATGAGATTTGGTTGTTCTTTCTTTTCGGTGTTTCCTCCTTCTGTTTGAGTGTCGTTTGAGAAGTGAATCTGAATCTGAATCGATGGTGAATCCGATGGCTGAAGAATGGATCCGGGTGAAAACCGAAGGAAGGGATGACGGTGGTAAATCAATGACTAACGGCGGTGAATCAATGAAAACCGAAGGAAGCAGAGGAAGATAGTGTTTTTGTTTTTGGCGGTGAGTGGATGCGGGAAGATAGTGTTTTCTGAAAATGTGTTTTGTTTTTTATTTTTATCAATTAATTAATTAATTCATTATTATATATAACATAGCGCTTTTTAATAAATTCTATTATATAGGTAGTCAAATAATAGCGTTTTATACAAAATGCTATCTTAAAGAAGTTTAATAATAGAGTTCTGGTACAAAGTGCTATCATAATTACATAGTCTGTATTATATAATAGCGCCCGATTAAAAAGTGCTATTATAAATGTGTTTTTTCCATTTTAATAGCATTTTTTTTAAAAGTGCTATTAAATTAGGTGATACAAAAAATCATTTTTGGCGTAGTGTATCAATGCATAATCCTATGTATCGACTCATCCTTAGTCTTAAAACCTGTATGTGTCGACGCATGGCCTTTAAGGTCGACTCATACTGACCTGTGCTGAATATATTATGCGTTTTCACTATGATTTCCCTGCCTTAGGCCCTAAAAACATCCTCTAATCATAGGTAATCATCAATTATAATAATCCTATGTTTCTACATCAATTATACAACATTAGGGCATCATTATTCATCTCTAAATCATTGATCCTCATCAAACAACAATATATATATATATATATATATATATATATATATATATATATATATATATATATATATATATATATATATATATATATATATATATATATATTATATATATCCGCAATTCCCTACGAGGGAATTGAGACAAGGCCTTAACCTTCTTGTAGCTAGCTGCTTTGAGCTAAAATGCAAGGCCGCAAACCCCGAAGCGGGATTTGAGACAAGGCCTTGACCGACCCGTAGCTAGCTGCTTGTAGCTTGTAGCTCGGAGCTCGGAGCTGTCGGCTGGCCTTAAGAAGCAAGGCCTAAATCCTCGCCTGGGGCATGGATTGAGACAAGGCTTTGACTTGATTCCTCAATTGAAATGCGAGGGAAACGAGCTACAAGCTCCTATTTGATAGGGAACAAACCGATGGTAAATCTCCTTGAGGTGATATACCATTTAAGGGGCCTTTTAAGGTGCCTTAAAAGGTGGATTTGTTAAATCAATATTCAACAATGGAGTTTATAAGTCAAACACTGAATGTGTTTGACGGCATCCTTCATTCAGGGGTCGGGGCTTCCTCTCTCTACCTCACCACCCCTGGAATAGGGTTTGCAGTTTTATTGACCACTCACTAAAACTGCCTATTTAGGGTATGGAGCCGGCGTCGATCGTATAGCAAGCTGAAAATAGGATACCTATATCAATCAAAAACAAAACAACTTTTCAAATCCCATCCCACATACTACTCATCATAAACCCTATTATAGAGTCAGAACCCCACCCTTATCTTGGATTAAAGGTTGCTCTACGACTTTTCTGATTGAATTTTCTTTCTGCCTCTTTTCCTTCTTTTCTGCAACTTTCACGTTCTCTTTCTCTCTTTCAACCCTTATTTCTTTTCTTCTTACTGCTACTTCTTTTTTCTTATTAATTCTAATTAACTAATATAATAACCCTATAATTCTCATTATATCTTAATGGGCTTAAAACTCCTACACCCCCTTTCTACTACTTCTAATCCTTAAAATAAGCCCACATCAAATAATACTATTATTCTAATATTATTCTACAACTTAATAGAATAAATTAATCCAAATAACAACAACACAACATCTATCATCATAACACAACTTCACAAATAATCCAAAAATAATTTAATTAAATAATTAATTAAATTACGGGCGTTACAGAACGCATGTTTTCTTTATTGTTGATTTTCATTATGTTGCTAAATTTTTAAGTTGTTTTCATTAAAGACTTGTTGTCTTAAAGTTGTTTTGAGTTGGACAAGATGTTATGGTGTTTTCAGTTGAATTTTGTGAATCTGTTGCGTAGTAATGAAAGTTGTTTTATTTTTAAAGACTAAACTGGTTTTCATCGATTCATCCGAATTTCATGTGTTATGTATCGGAACTATAGATGATTGAATGTCGTAGTTTTATGTTGAAAGTCTAGCATTCCATTTGTTTGTTGGAAATTTTTATAACTCTGATTTTATTTAACTTGTTGGGTAGAAATGGTGTGTTACAGACATGTCAATCTAACTCTTCGGGTTTAAGAAGATTGAACAGGGGAAGCTGTTGTACCCCAAAATTGCCCTCCCATTTTCTTCAAAAACATTCTTCAAGGGTTCTCAAGTACTCAAGGTTACTCAAGGGTTGACCAATTAAAGCTCCTCCTAAACAATTAGTCCATAACTATGGTTTTGTGTTTCTTAAGGAAGATTGAGTTCCAAAATTCTCATGTGGTTTACATGGTTCTCCACAGGTCTTCAACAATGTCCAGGTCAAGTTTCAAGCCTTGTATCACAAGTTTGCTCAGTCAATGACTCAGATGACTGAAAATCAATTGTGTTGGATAAAAAGTTGATTATTGTCAACATACAGTCAAACTTCAATATTTTTGGTCAAAATCAACATTTTGAAGTGATATTCATCATTTTATCAAGGGTTGATCATGATTCCTCAAGAAAATCCCTCAAATCATCAAAAGTCAAAAGTTACCAAATTAGGGTTTCCTTAGGAAAAGTCAACTGAATTTTGACCAAGCATAACTTTCACATACTTCATCGATGTTTCCCCAACCAAAGCCCATTTTGAAGGAAATTCAATTCTCTACCAATTAGTATTTGTATGCTCAAGTCCAAAAAGTGCTTCATTTGAGAGATATGAGTCCATATATTATTGGTCATTTCGAAAGTCAACAAAAAGACTCTTTTTGTCAAGGAAACTTACATAAAGATAAATCTCCAAATGCAAAAATGATAAAAATATAAATTGAATAGGACAATCTTGAGATTTCCAAAAAGTCCAAGATCACCTTCAAAAGATGAAAATCTAGAGAGTTATGACCTTTTCAAATAGGGAAATTTTGAGAAAATGCATGAAGTGCAAAGTGAGCAAACTTGAAATTTTGAACTAGTGGGCCTAACTTTTGATGTTCAAACATGTTCACAATGTATTATAGGACCTCTAAATCCAATCACATATTTTTGATGATTTTTATTTATTTTATTTGAATTTTTATTCATTTAAATGCAAATTAAAACAAATAAAATATGAGGCAATGTTATAAGGCATGTGGGCTTGCTTTCTTGGATCAGTTCAGGCCCAAGACAAATCATGATGACCATGCAAAACCGTGTGAGCTCAAGAGGGAAATAAATATCTCAAAATGGAATTTTGTAAATATGTTTGATTCATGTTTCATTTGGCCATGATTGCATTGTTTCTTCCCATATTTGTGTACCCTAATCCTTCCTCTATATAAGCATGGAAAGCATCAGATACAAGGACACGAAAAGTTTTTCTCCAAACACTTCTCAAATTTTTTTAAAATATTAGGGAAAATACAAACCCCGTTCCCTAGAAATTCCCAAGCCGTTTCAAGCCTCATACAATCTTCATGAGGTTTCCAAGAGTCTATATCAGGCCTTACTCATCGCGAATCAACCGCATAATCCTCCTTTGAACTAACTCCAATTGGTAAGTTGGTGAGTTTCATTTTACAAATTTCAGCATGATTTCAATCATTGCAAGTATGCCAGCATGATTCATATATATGATTTGATTCGTTCTAACGTTTTACATTTGAGTTTTAACGCAGAAACAACATCATGGCATTCTTAGGGCATAAAGCTTTTGAAGCTTCAGATCTTTAAATACAAGCATTGTTAGGTCAAAATAACCACACCATGG